AATACTCTCTATCAAGTGGATAACTCAGGTACATTAAGGCCTGGGTCTAAGTCATTTATGGTTTTTATGTACAGTTTCCAAAAACTATGGTTAAAGACATTCACAATGGACGATATATGGTAAGCTAAACTAAACTTAAAAAACTTGAAAAAAGAAATTTAAATTATTTGGTCACGTGATCGACCACGCCCTCCATTGTTCGAAAATTGGAACCGACGATTCCCACCACTTGCCAAACAAGTAGCTCAAGTTTCTCTGTATCAAAACAATGTCCCTACAAAGTGTCTACGAAATCAGCTCGGAATGGTTCAAAGCATTATAATTGGCAGGTGAAATTGGTGATCACTGACTAGTGCCAGTCCTCCTCCAACTAAAATTATCGACAGGAGAAAGACGTTTATTGACCTCGCCTCATTCCGATTGTTTTTACATGAAGACTATAGTAGCCACTTTTTGGACCTACTGAAGGAAAACGGTTTACTCTCTTTCTGGTGGGAATTTGACTCAAAGAATTTCTCGAAAAAACAGGGCGTGGCTGGTTACGTGATGCAAATATAAACAATTTTTAAAATGAAATTGGCAGATTTTTTGGTTATGATTGGCCTTAAATTGTTAGTCAGGGGATATCTTGAAAATACTTTATGTAATACCACCCCCCTTTAAAAATTCTGAAAACTCTGTAATGACCCAGGCCTTAATCTACTTGAGAATGCAGTTGGTTGGATTAACACGCGATTCACTGGCGAGAGATAATGGATAGCTCTCCCCACTAAACTTTTCAACGACTGGGTCCAGTCTACAAAAGCACTTGTTCTAAGATGATTAAAAATTTCCATCGTTATAACACGAACCCCTTTGATAATTTATGTGAGTACGTACTGGGTCGAGAGCCATAATGGCTCTTGGCTGGGTTGAATACATACCTTGCTTTTTCCCCAGTTTTGCTGACGTATTACCCACTTCCTACGAAAGATTATCACTCCTTCGATGAATTGGGGCGGTTCATCAAAGGACGCTATGTTGAGTAACGGGTTTAGTACATACCTTACATTTGAATAACGAAACTCCCTTAAATCGATGAATTGCGGCGGTTCATCAAAGGACAGCTTTCAAGGGTTTGAAATACCTTGTATTGATCAGAGTATCACGATCAAGAGATCAAGAGCTTGAGCTATTCTCCTGCATCAATGATAAATATTGTAGAAGAATATATCCACCTGGATTTGAACAAGTTGAAATTCTAAGACAGATCTACCACGTTTCAGAAGTTTACGCTCCTTAACTGACAACACTGAGCCCAGAGGTGACAAACTGAACAGCTTGAATAGGTAGGTGAAAGATTGTTTAGAAATCGACCGTCAGCTTTCGTGCACTCCTTAAACTTAAAGGTTCATTCATTCATTCATTTTTGCCATTAACCACATATAAATACAACAATATACAAGAAATTTCTAATACATTAAAGATAATATACACTATTCTAACTAAATTATTTACAAAATTAAATTTTTAAAGTGGTAATGACAAGTAAGCCTAAATAGAAGGCGGAGGCTTATACACCATATGCTTCCTGCAACTATAGGGTAAACCATGGGAGTTTAAGGGTGCTAAATGACAAACGGATTAATTTTTAAAAGAAAAGGTATGTAGCTCAAATGAATATATTTGACTGAGAAAGAAGGCCTAAAAACGGAGCTCTAATGGAAAAAGCAGCAAACGTCAACCGTAACATTTTCCTGCTAATTCCAGTTGAGTTCCCCGTTTTCTGAGATCGTCTGGATCGTGGCGTCAAAACTTCCTAGAAATACGATGGTTGTATCCAACATGTTAAGGCCTCGTTATTAAGGGGAAAACATGTCTCGGTAAAAAAGGATCACCCGCTTATCTGAGCTACCTTGGGCGAGCCAACTTTTTATACATTTCATTAGAAAACGTGGTGTACCGTTAACATGAGAAACAGAAACTTGGCTTGGCTAAAAGGATGACCCGCCTTGCCGGATCACTCTTTTAGGGTGGTAGGGTCACCCTCCTAGCCGGGTCAACTTTTCTCCATACAGCAATTTCGAGAAAGGTTGTCCGAAAAAGTACACGCGACAATCCCGAAAGGTATATTGTGGGTGGTTTTGAGTTCACTGTTCTTCAAAAACATTTGGAAGAATGGCACGAGAGGCTATGGACGTATGTTTCCTAATGCTAAAGGAAAGCAACAATGGAAGATTCGACAGCTACAGAGTCAGGAACAGCGTATTGATCATATCCCGAATTACCGTTCGGGATTGTCGCGAGCACATTTTTCTGTTAACCTTTCTCGAAATAGCTGTATTGACACGTTGGCTCGCCCAGCTGGGTCGACTCTGTCAAGGCGAGAAAATCATGCAGAGCATGCGTGAAAACTTTATCCTCATATAACCGCCGCTGAAGTTGACTGGACTCGGACTGTGACCCTCTCCTTCACATACCGTAAAACGGGTTCTAAGTAACCCCAAATTCAATAATAACAGCGACTCATTTATCGAGTAAGTTTAAATAACGATGCCCGGGCCACTGAGAGACTGATTTTCAACGTAGAATTAAAAGAGAATTGAAATGTTTATATTTCTCTGTTGATTTTTATTTTGTAGGTGCTTTAATACTATAGTACTTTAATACTATAATACATTAGCATGTAATCTATTTTACGCATGTCTGTATGATGAGTGTATATGTATTTAGCATAATAAGACTCGCACTGAACGCACACGCGCAGATTTTCTTTTCCTTTTGGCGTTGTTTCTACATATTGAGTTTCCGGATCATTCTGCTAATGAACTGCGTCAGTTTCGACTGTGCAAATGTTTCAGTGCCGTTGTTGTTGTTGTTGTTGTTCACTTGGTTTCACGTTTTTGATAATCTATCCTTGGTGTAATCCGGCATTATGCAGGGGCACCCGACGACAATAAAATATCTGTTCGGAAGACGATTTGAGATCTAGAATTTTCGGAACATTTGCTGTAAAGTTTCTAGCTTGCCTGACTCTCCTAGGATTTTCGAACATCTGAAAAATGGTATAATTGCCCATTTTTAACGGATTTTTACCCTTAAAAGGTGACCTAGAATTTTCGGGAGCCTTTTTTCTGACTAAAATTTTCGAAAACATAACTTTTGATCCCTATAATTTTCGGATCACTAGACTTTCAGCTAGGAAATCCGAACAGATGAAAAATTTTTAGGGGATAAAAATATGCCTTCATCTAACGTTTAAATACTAAAATACATTTCACAATGCTATGTTTATGTGGTTTTGAACTATATTCTCGTCGGGTGCCCCTGATTATGGTTCTCAACGGATATCATGCAAGCAATAACATGCATATTATTTTACAAATTCAATGCAAAATCCCAATTATACGCTACATTAATGTGACAGCTTATTTGGTCTTACATGATTTCTCTTGGCGCCTTCGTTGTGTTTATAAGTTATTCATACCGATAATTACGTGAGTATTATCTTACAAGCAAAGTTATGCGTTAGTTACTACAGCTGATAATTCAAGCGTTTGCATGTTTATTATTTTGAAGGGCACAATTATAAGGTCAGTATAACTGAGCTACGTGCTCATCACTGATTTCCCTGATTAAAATCCGCTTCTTCCTCTCCGTCGCCATCGTCCCTTGGCTTACTGTCATTTTCTTGGATCTCAATTTCTCCATCAGCAAGGAAATTCCTATTCGAGAAGCCTGTTGCTAAGTTCTCCTGTTCTGGACTAAATGTCTGAATAAAGACAAAAAAAATTGAGGGTAAACAATCAGCTATGATCTTTTAATTCTTCATGATCATCTATAAATTGTACGTTTATCGACTGAAATCATTGATGGTTGTAGGATTTTCCTGTGAGTTTCCTGACTCGTCACCAGTCGGCTTTGCGCGCGGGGGCGGGGGGCACTGCCGTATATGGGCTATATAGGTATGTGCCGCTGTGAAGGGTTTGGTTTTCAAGCAGTTTACTCTAGGATAGGGTATATAAATCAGAGCGTTTGGGTCTAGAATAGGGTATTATTTTTCAGGAAACTAATCAGTTGGTTGAAGGTTTTATCTAGACTAGGGAAACAGCTACTCTAGGATAGGGGGGATGTGGGAGTTTACTCTAGTATAGGGTAGCAAAATTCAGCTGAACTAGCTCTGGTATAGGTTAAGGGTTCCAGGGTCCCAGCGGCACATCCCCACCCAGAAATTCCTAAAGTACCCCCCCCCCCACTCCCCAGGGCTTTGCGTAACGCGCACGCCAGGAGCAGAGATTGATGGGAATGGAAATAAAAGGGAAGAACTCTCTCCCTCGCTTTCCTCTTTCCTATCACACCCAGCGCGTCACTAGGGAGAGGCTGCGAGGGACGAGTAGGGACGTGTCAGGAGTATTTCTTTGTATTTTTTTTTTGTAACTTTTAAATTAAATCGTAGTAACACCTAAAGGGTCAGTAATTACTGCCACCTCCTTTACCCCTCAGCCCTGTAATCCAAGTCCAGTCCTGTATACGAGTTTTATATATTTATTTAGTAATGACAAATTTGCAAGTGCCTTTTTAGGTGGCAACAAAGGAAAGGTGCTAAACTAGATTAAGACATTGGTGTTTGAAACCTTGAGGGTAAACTTTTTGCCAATAAATCAGAATTGACTATATTCGTCTGAGCTCGAAAATCAAAGCGAAAGAGTTACTTTTGTGGGTGAAGGATGGGGTTGGAAGGGGTGGCCAGGAATGCAAGGTAAGGAAGGCTGTTGGTTTAGACTCCCTGATCCCCGCCTCCTTCATACCCACCCCCCTCCCCCAATTCTCTCTTCTATTTTTCAGTAAAGATTTATTTCCCATTTTACCAGTCGATAAAAGGCCAAAATAGTCCCGGCATTTAATTGAGGAATGGTAACATACCATGAAAACGAAACGCATCGACAAACTATTGCACTAGTAACTCTCACCTTGAGTTCTTTACCATGAGGGCGTGCAGAGGCCGTCTTGGGTGTGTATATTTGTTCGGAGCCAGACAACTGGTACATTTCAAATGAGGAGCTAGAAGGGTTGTAGACATTCGTCTGCACGAATAGTCTTTTCTCGTCACGGAACTTATAAATGCTCCTCCCTTGAAACGCGCTGTTTTTGAGTCTCTTGTTTTGTACCTGCCGAAACAAGAGAGTACAAGATTGCATGTTACGGTGAGATCATTTGTGGTAAGAACACTGGACGGAGCGTGCGCCAGAGAGGAAGACAGACATCGTGGGAAAATGTTCCGAGTTCCGAAATATGAAGATTCCTGTCTGTTCATGTGACCTCTTTTTTCAGCCTGATGGTTTCCCTCGACGTCCTCTCGCCGTGAAAATCAGGTTGTAACACTTGTCCATACTTAAGCAGGGCAAATGATTGATTATGGTGATCATGACGAATCGGAGTTAAAGTTCAAGCTTATATGATAAGGGAGATGTGAATACAATTTTCCATTTTATCAGTTATGAAATGATCTGAAACATAAATTACACCTGAGATTCCAACACCACCCTTCCCCCTATGTAACGATAAGAACAATACGATACCTCGATTTTTTCCGGGTAGCCTTATGTGCTACCAATACGTTAAGCATTACCATCGAATTACAAGATTGGAATAAAGAATAACCTTCGAAGGCACGAGCTCCGAACAAAGAGGAACTTACCTTTTTAATTCCCACAAGAATCAGTAGGATGACTATTACGGGACCACACACGATGAGAACAATGATCCATCGTGCTAATCCTGAACTATCTTTTTGTTCCTCGGGGCACTCAGTAGGAAATACACTCGTGATGCTTACACTAGTAGTTTGGCTGAACCTCTTATCACCACCGTCCGCTGTCCTAATGACATCTCTCAAGGCGTCGGTTCTGCTTATGCTCCATGTGATTTTGAAGTAAGTTCTGTAATCGAAAATGAGGCTTCCTTCCCGTAAGCTACTTACTTCCACGTTTATAAAAAGTTCGTCATATGCTTTCTTAAGCACTTTGGTTTAATGTTCAGTGAGTTGACTGTGAAGCGTTTTGTACTGCAAAGAGTTGATATCGGAATAGGTAGCGGCCCACTTGTACTCAATGGTTACGGAACCTTGAATCAATCGGAATGTCACAGGTGATTGTGATGGAGCTGCCGATGACAACGTTGATTGTGAAGACGATTGCCATGGTGATGGTAATGATGACGATGGTGATAGCGATGCTGTTGACGATGACGATATCAACTGTGATGGCGAAAATGACGATGATTGTGATGACGTTGTCCGTAGAGATAATGATGCTGATGGCAATGGAACTGGTGATGACTGTGATAGAGGTTGGGACGATGATGATGACACTGATGATGATGACATGGAGTGCGTTGCCGATTTTGATGGAGCTGGTAGTGATGATAACTGTAACGGAGAAAGGGACGATGGTGATGATGATGATGATGATGATGATGATACCGATTGTGATGGAGCTGGTGTATCCGATGATGAATGTAATGGTGGTGGGGACGATGATGATGATGATACCGTTTCTGAAGGAGATTGTGATGAAGCTGGTGATGACGATAATGATGATGATACCGATTGTATCGGCGATTTTGATGGAGTTGGCGATGACGATGATGACTGTGATTGAGCTGGGGACGATGATGAGGATAGCGATGACGATAGCGATGATGACCGTAATTGAGGTGGAGAAGGTGATGACGATACCGATTGTGAAGGCGACTGTGATAGAGATGGCGCTGACGATAATGACTGTGATGGAGGTGGCGATGACGATACCGATTGTGACGATAATTGCGATAGAGCAGGCGATTATGATGACGATGGAGACAATGATGGCGGTAGTGATGAGGGCGTTGGCGGTGTTGTTGTTTGTGATAGCCCTGATGGCGATGGTGATGATAATTTCATTGTTAATAGGACTGACTCTGATGATGGCAATGATGCAGATGAGAGCGATGATGATGATGATGATGATGATGATGATGATGATGATGATGATGATGATGATGATGATGATGNTGAGGAGCTAGAAGGGTTGTAGACATTCGTCTGCACGAATAGTCTTTTCTCGTCACGGAACTTATAAATGCTCCTCCCTTGAAACGCGCTGTTTTTGAGTCTCTTGTTTTGTACCTGCCGAAACAAGAGAGTACAAGATTGCATGTTACGGTGAGATCATTTGTGGTAAGAACACTGGACGGAGCGTGCGCCAGAGAGGAAGACAGACATCGTGGGAAAATGTTCCGAGTTCCGAAATATGAAGATTCCTGTCTGTTCATGTGACCTCTTTTTTCAGCCTGATGGTTTCCCTCGACGTCCTCTCGCCGTGAAAATCAGGTTGTAACACTTGTCCATACTTAAGCAGGGCAAATGATTGATTATGGTGATCATGACGAATCGGAGTTAAAGTTCAAGCTTATATGATAAGGGAGATGTGAATACAATTTTCCATTTTATCAGTTATGAAATGATCTGAAACATAAATTACACCTGAGATTCCAACACCACCCTTCCCCCTATGTAACGATAAGAACAATACGATACCTCGATTTTTTCCGGGTAGCCTTATGTGCTACCAATACGTTAAGCATTACCATCGAATTACAAGATTGGAATAAAGAATAACCTTCGAAGGCACGAGCTCCGAACAAAGAGGAACTTACCTTTTTAATTCCCACAAGAATCAGTAGGATGACTATTACGGGACCACACACGATGAGAACAATGATCCATCGTGCTAATCCTGAACTATCTTTTTGTTCCTCGGGGCACTCAGTAGGAAATACACTCGTGATGCTTACACTAGTAGTTTGGCTGAACCTCTTATCACCACCGTCCGCTGTCCTAATGACATCTCTCAAGGCGTCGGTTCTGCTTATGCTCCATGTGATTTTGAAGTAAGTTCTGTAATCGAAAATGAGGCTTCCTTCCCGTAAGCTACTTACTTCCACGTTTATAAAAAGTTCGTCATATGCTTTCTTAAGCACTTTGGTTTAATGTTCAGTGAGTTGACTGTGAAGCGTTTTGTACTGCAAAGAGTTGATATCGGAATAGGTAGCGGCCCACTTGTACTCAATGGTTACGGAACCTTGAATCAATCGGAATGTCACAGGTGATTGTGATGGAGCTGCCGATGACAACGTTGATTGTGAAGACGATTGCCATGGTGATGGTAATGATGACGATGGTGATAGCGATGCTGTTGACGATGACGATATCAACTGTGATGGCGAAAATGACGATGATTGTGATGACGTTGTCCGTAGAGATAATGATGCTGATGGCAATGGAACTGGTGATGACTGTGATAGAGGTTGGGACGATGATGATGACACTGATGATGATGACATGGAGTGCGTTGCCGATTTTGATGGAGCTGGTAGTGATGATAACTGTAACGGAGAAAGGGACGATGGTGATGATGATGATGATGATGATGATGATACCGATTGTGATGGAGCTGGTGTATCCGATGATGAATGTAATGGTGGTGGGGACGATGATGATGATGATACCGTTTCTGAAGGAGATTGTGATGAAGCTGGTGATGACGATAATGATGATGATACCGATTGTATCGGCGATTTTGATGGAGTTGGCGATGACGATGATGACTGTGATTGAGCTGGGGACGATGATGAGGATAGCGATGACGATAGCGATGATGACCGTAATTGAGGTGGAGAAGGTGATGACGATACCGATTGTGAAGGCGACTGTGATAGAGATGGCGCTGACGATAATGACTGTGATGGAGGTGGCGATGACGATACCGATTGTGACGATAATTGCGATAGAGCAGGCGATTATGATGACGATGGAGACAATGATGGCGGTAGTGATGAGGGCGTTGGCGGTGTTGTTGTTTGTGATAGCCCTGATGGCGATGGTGATGATAATTTCATTGTTAATAGGACTGACTCTGATGATGGCAATGATGCAGATGAGAGCGATGATGATGATGATGATGATGATGATGATGATGATGATGATGATGATGATGATGATGATGATGATGGAGGCATCTGTGGTAATGAACTCGTTGACTGTGTAGTGGGCGATGTTGTTGGTGCCGAGGATGAGGATGAAGACAACATTGAAGATGATGATATTGATCGTGATGATAATGACAAAGATGCCGATGATGCCAGTTTAGACATTACAACTGATAAATGAAACGATTGTGAATGCATAGCTGACGATGCCGATAGTGAGGTTGTCGATGTGATTAAAAATGACAACGATGTCGATGATGACAAAAGTGGTGTTGACGATGGTGATAATGACATTGATTGGCGTGAACTACTAATCTCGATTGACGTGTCAGATATACTTGCCGATTCTGTTGGTGATTGCATTGATTTTGTACCTGAAGAGCGAGAAACAAAATGGGGAAGATAAATTCATCATTCTTTAGCTTCCTAACATGATATAAGCGTGTAGAGATGTGGTGAGGGAGAGGTTAGCACGACCAACTTAACATCTGTAGGTCCAGTGTCGAGCCCGTTTCACTCATTATTTTCACATTTTCCATAATAGGCCTTGTTTCTGTTCGGTTATAAGCCCCTCCCCCACTCCCTCGGGATATAAGCCCTCCTTAAACAAACCCCTTACGAATTGTATGGGCCCAGCGGAAGTTCATGGTATATGGTTTTAGTAGTCTAGTATGTTGCGAATTAAGCCCCGTTGGTGTCTTCCCCTGTCTTCCCTTTGATTAATATGCATAACTGTCTCCTCCATATTAAAGAGGGTCCTCCTGCATACTAATAGCTGTCTTCCTCCATACTTATTAAGTGCCTTCCTGCATACTAATTCGGTATAGGTTTACTGATATGCGTCTCTCTACTGCTCTAGGCACAATAGGCTTGCCCGTTTAGTAACTTGAGCCCAGTTTTCGGATCGTCTATTGAAAAAACTACGAATAAGAAAAGCGATCACCTAGCAACGCGAGAAACGGCTTACTGTATCTTATTCAGCGCTATAAATCGGATATATAAACAAAACACACACGCGCATACACAAAGTAGAGCTGAAAACTCTTTACTTCAATTTTGTCTGACAATTACAAAACCGTTGTCTCCGTTCTATCTCGAGGAAATGAAAAACTATTGAAGTTTTGTCATTTTCACGCGCCGCTAGTCAGTTAATCATGCGAGTTAACAACCCAACATTTGCATACAAACTGCCTGTACAGCTAGACCCAAGGGACAGTCTTGACATATTATTATAAAAACACAAAACAATAGAAAACTTAAGAAGGATCAATTGAAATACGCGACTATCAAATGCTCGCGATAAAATCAGACACGTCTCTTAAGACACAAGAAATCCACTTTATGACCCTAAAATTAAAAAATACTCATTGATTTAGAAGGAATCTATGAAAATAGTCAAAGAAAG